GTCACTACCTGCGTCACTGAACTTGCGACACAAACACAAAAGAACCGCTAGATTTAAATCAGCACAGCCAGCGAAGGATCGAACGCAACTGTTTTGAACGAGCACACCTTTTTTTAACAACCAAAAAGTGGCTGTTCTCCCTGTTGAGGAAGAACAGACGTTCCTCTCGTTGATAGCAGAGGAGCGGATCCAGCCAGAGCTTGATGGGTCGACGCGGAATAAAAACGTTTTTCAGGAGTCACGGCAATAGAGGCGGCGCAACTATAACGACATGTGAATAATCCCGCCCACTCTAAAGCGATACTAAACTGCAGTGGAAACGCAAACCGAGACGTGCCGTACTGAGCCGTTCCGAGGCGAGTCGTACCACGCAGTGGAAAAAGCGCCATAAGATGTCAAAACTCCAGCAGCGGGGCAGCAGCAGCAGAACAATAAAAACGTTTTTCAGGAGTCACGGCAATAGAGGCGGCACAACTATAACGACATGTGAATAATCCCGCCCACTCTAAAGCGGTACTAAACTGCAGTGGAAACGCAAACCGAGCCGTGCCGTACTGAGCCGTTCCGAGGCGAGTCGTACCACGCAGTGGAAAAAGCACCATAAGATGTCCAAACTCCAGCAGCGGGGCAGCAGCAGCAGAACAAAATTCCCAGGTCAGTTTTAGCACCAGCTTGAATTAATTAGAATAGCTCAGATCGAGATGACTCGGTCAGAACGAAATCCCCATAAAATGAAACAATAGTTAGCAATAAAACTGTTAAAACTAATAAAACAGGGTCGGCGAGCAGCGGCAAACAATGCGCACAGCGTTCACTCAACCAAAAGAAATGCACAAGTGAACTCGAACTAAGTAATGCGCTAGACAGGAGTGCGTTTCCCAAAAGCATAGTTAGCCAACTATGGTCGCAAGTTCTGTCGTTAACAACATAGTTCAACGTTTCAGTGTTTCCCGAAACCATAGTTCAAACGAACATTCGCAAACAGCGCCGCAAACTTGCGTGGTTGGAACTACAGCTCTCGACCTGTGGTTAGAAGCATTGATTTATAAATTATGCTTTTGGGCACAATAAGCAAGCTAACATGCAATACAATCTATATCTTTCATTCTATTTAAATATATACATTTTAATCGATCAATTTTAGCGCGTCCTCAATAAGCGCCGTTTTTGAAGAGTGCGCATGTGCATAAATGCCTAAGGGAACCCTGGAGTATGACGTAAGAGGAAACCCGCAATGAATCAAACATCAAGTAAAGCAAAATGAGAGGGAACAAAACATAGTAAATTAGTCATCAGGTGCCATGTTCAATACAGCAGCATCTCAGAGATCTCGAATCAATTCATTAGCAGCAGTTATTACTCCACCACATGCGTGTGACATCATTAACAACGGCCTTAAATCGTTGAACTAATGGGGTTCAAACGACGGAGATGTCAAAGTGTACTTTGTGACAAGGTGTACTTTGTGAAATAATTGCCTAATATAGTATTAACTCCTTTATTTTGTAAGATATTGCACAGCACCAAGATTAAACTTAAACCTCCTCATCTGAGCTCCTCAGCCTTCTGTCATGGTGATGGTCACCACTCCTCAGTGTTAAAAAATATCTGAGATGACCAATCAAATCAAAGTAGGCAGGCTTTATGTTCACAGAAGCTGCATAGCGCAAATTTCAACGCGACGCTTCAGTTAGCGGGTGTGAGATAAGAATTAGCCAAACATTTCATATCTGACAGCTGTTTTATGATAGAAACTTTAAATGACTGACAAAAATAATCAGGAATGTAAACAAACCTGTCTATTTTCACCATTTGAATTGACTCGATTCATGTAATGTGATTCGTAACTGCCAATGTAAAGGAACAAGGAACAAGAAACAATAACAAAGCCGTTTTCATCATCTATTAGGCATATGATTAATAATGAATGGGCACATACTGTGAATTTACTAAACATAATTACGTAGCTTTGGTAGCCTTTAGTAAAGTAACTTGTTTTATTAAAACGATTCATAAAAGATATAAATATCAGTCGACCATTTGTTTATTTTCTTCACTGACAAAGATGAAAATGAAAATCCTACCAATCAAAGTAGAGCTGGTATTGACAAATAATATATTTGCCCACTGACATAGTTTTAAATTGTTATACAAATGTTTGCCCTTCAAACAGTTCCTCTTAATTATTAGGGCTGTCAAAATGGCTAAAAAACTAAATACGAATGTTATACTTAAATATTAATATACTTAATATTATTAGTATTTGAGTTATATTCAAATTTAAAAGACATAATTTCAGTTAGGTGGAAAAAGCTTTTGTCTCCTGTGGCTACAAAAGGGGGCAGTGAATTTGAATAAAATGTTTGCATTTGAATGTGGATTTTATTTTAAATTAGACAAATATTCGCAATTCTAATTGTAATTTTATAGCCCTACCACACATGCAGTTCAGTGCAGAACAAAGATTCCGTAACATTATTTTACAGTAGCTAATGATCTCATTATAATATGACAGACTTGCCCTGCACATGTTGCAGTTCACTGTATTTTCCTTTTCCAAGTGATTCCAATAATATTTCAAGCAATTAAAAACCATCATGGCGAACAGTGCGCATCGGAAGTGTCTCTGCAGGAAATAATGCATTATTTATCGGTGTGACGAGAGGGGCGGGGCCGAGAGCCATGGGAGCGGAGCGAGGCCAGTGGAGTAATGATAATGAGCGCCACCTGCGCCACTCACTGGTCTTGAGTCCCACGGAGGAGCTCTGGAAGAATAAAAGGAGGCGTGTCGACAGTGAATGACGAGAGAAGACCAGGCCTGGATTTTAAGTTGTTGTTTTATGTGGCAGTGGTCCATGAGGGGCTACCGCTTTTACTTTCATTTTGTGTTTATTTATTTATTAAAGTTTTACGTTTAAATGGTCACCGGTTCCCGCCTCCTTCTTCCCGATTTACGAACTTTGTTACAGTCGGCTTTAAGATATTGGCCAAATTCTCTTATCGGTTTGATATGATAACAGAAAAACGAACATTTATCGGCTGATACCATTCTGTTGGCCGATATATTGTGCATCCCTAGATCATATAATGCAGTGCAAAAGTATTTGCCTGATTTTCTCCTGTTTTTGTGTACACCTCATGCTAAATTGATTCAGAAATTAAAACCTGCCATGGAACAAAAGGCAACCTGAGCAAACATAAAGCACAGTTTGTGAATGACAATGTTATTTATTAAAGCAAGCAAGTTATCCAATACCAACTGGGCCTGCATGAAAATGTATTTGCCCCTGTCGTTACTAATGCTGTGTTCCAGACAACTCGAAATTTGTTTCCCCCTTGAAAAGTAATTTCTCTTACCTTATATGATGGAACAACTTCACTGATGGGCCTGACTGTGTGATTGACGTGTTTCTGTGAAATAAAGCACTCTACACACACCGGCTGCTTGTCTTCCAGACAGAAGAGTTTGAGTTTCTCACTGTGTAAACTGCAGATCTCCTCAGATCCTGATGAACGGCTCTCATTTCTCTCCTTCAGGAACAACTCACACAAGTTCTTTAACACAAGATTATATGGTGGTTCTTCTCTTGAGGACCTTCTCCTGCAGACAGGACACTCCGGAGTATCCTTGGTTCTCCAGAACTGTTGAAGACACTCTTTACAGAAACTGTGACTACATGATAAAAGAACAGGAGCCTTGAAAATTTCATGACACACGGGACAAGAAATATCATCTTCATATAGTGAAGCCATTTTCTATCTAAGCTCTTATAATCTGAACTTTCACTTTCTGAACGATGGTTTCAAAAATGAATAATAACAAAAATCACAAAGATCTGTCGTCACCAACAAACTTCTCCAAAATTCTTATTTAAAGCATTTTTCTTCGTTCTTCATTGATCGCTGATTCTTTTTTGCTTTTGTCAGTAGAGAAATCCGTACAACAGAAAGGAAAAATAATACGTCAGTCTTTTTCTGGCAAGTGTTGTGAGAGGAGTTTCTGGTCACCTTTGGGTGTATTTAAACAGGTCAGACAAGAACGTCAGGATTTGTTCAGGTACATTTTTTAACTAATAGTATTCAAAATGAACTTGCATTGAAATGTTAAAATATAATGATATAAAACCTTGGATAAAATACAAAAGAACAATGATAATAAACAAATATTAATAATAAACAAAAACTTAAATGTGTTATATTTATTGCTCTTTATTGTTGGTGAGTGTTTGAAGCTCACATAATTTCTTCAGTGTCTGTCATTATCAAATCTTCTTTGTTCGTATGTTTATCATGCTGACTGTCAGTGTTTGGAGACGCGAAGAGGTATGAAACAGATCAGAGTAAAAGAATAAACAAGAGAAATGGAGATGTGACAAAAGTCTGTTCTCTCAGGCATTGTCAGCACCTTTATTAATACGCATTTAGTAATTCCTGCAATCTGACGACTGGAGCTGAAATGAAGGTAAATGTGATTGATGACATGAGCTCTTGAGATTTAATGACTGAGCTGAGATCAGTCTCACCTGAAGATCCTTTTACACAGCAAACACATCAAGACCAGAAGAAAATAAAAACACAACTGATCTATTTAAGTGATACAATATAAAATCAGCTTAAATTGTCAGCCTCCACATGATCTACTAGTCATAATGATTTCAGAATACATCTGAATAACTCAAATATAACATTTTATTTGTCAGGTAAAAATGTATCGTGCCAATTACATAATTAAACAATGAGAATCCAATTCAGAATTAAATTCAGTTCCAATTCATATAAATACATAACATCAATTGCTCAAAGATGAATCTAAGAGTGAGAGATGCACACCTGACAGCAGAGAGACACACAGCAGCATGTGAGAGTTCTAGTGCAGAGCTCCAGAGACTCACACACACACACACACACTGTGGTGGTTTTCTGGTTACAGAATCCCAAATGACTATAATGCCACTTTGCTTACACCCAAATCCGTGTATCATTCGGTCATTCGTTTTTTGATTTAATATTGAAAGTAGAAAAATTAGAAAACTGATCCTGATTTTCGTTTTTTTTTTTTCAATCAGCAGAAAGGGGCGTTTAATTCCCGCCCACATGTAGAAATTGAATATTCAAGCTGTTTATTAATTTTTCCACCTATGAACGAAAAACTAAAATTTAAGCTGAATTCTCGTTTTTCGTTTTTTGGAAAAAAACTAAAAAACTAAAAAGGAGCCGTTTTCTCATTTTTATACTTTCAATATTAAATAAAAAAATGAATGATCGAATGATACACGGATTTACCCAGACCAGAACAAACAAATCTTGAAATCAGTTGTAACAACATAAAAGACCTTTTGGTTTGTTAGGATCCTGTGACCCAGAGTCAGACTTGGCCGGAGCCCACCTCTCAGCAGCAGAACAGAATTCTTCTAATTGTTTCAATCTTCATTTCAATCTTTCTCATTGTCACAGTTCAAGGCAGAGGCACGAGGTAAGAGTGCAAACAGGATAGTTTATTGACAACAGCAGGGGAAGAAGACAGATGGCAGGTAAGTCAGAAGATAATGATAGTTCTTGGGTTCTTAGCTCTGGGTAATGGTTTGATTGATCCTTTGCAGGAGTCCGGGGAACGAATGAGGTCGGCGAGGGACAGGATCTCTGGAAAACTCTGGGAACTGGAGCCCTCCTGGAACTGTGAAGCGCTTACGAGGAGCTGGCACTGGGGGGGTGCTCTGGAGGAGCAGGCACAGCAAGACGCTTTCGAGGAGCTGGCACTGGAGTCACCAAGATTATATTAGCTAGCTCCCTAACATGTATTAGCATAGTAAATGAAAAGAACTAAAAACTCCTGGAGTAAAGCAGCAAAATGTCCTTTCTACCCTTCCCGCAGTCCAAAACGTTCTCACTTTTTAATGCTCAGGTTACCCCTTTAGAGTCAGTTTTTTGACATGCAAGGTACTCCATTTGCCTTCAGTTGTATGCCTTGTGTGTCAGATCAAGATTTATTGCATTCATTTGTAAAAATAAAAATAATTTTATATACATTTATGCTTTCATATATAGTCCTCCGCCGTGACGTCCCGCTCAGCTATTGGACTGATTTCACATGTGATTCAGAGCGTGGGTCACTGAAGGCGTTCCCCTAGCGTTCTCGACGCAGCGTCTCGTTCCCTCGAGGAACCAGGGCTACATACGTAACCCGAGACGATTTCAACCGGTGTCTGCAGAGTTAAGAATTACATGAATGTGTAGCATTTTGTTCAAATAGAGATATTTGTGAATACAAATGTTATAGTTTGTATTAAAGTATCATAATTTGTGCAGGTAGCGATTAAAATGTGCATTTGTGGATCAGGCGACACGTGTGCATTCATTCACATCTCTTCTGAGTCGATTCTATTTGATTCATTTGAATTTTGAGACATTCATTCCGCCCTTTTAGCCCAATCCACACACAGCTGAGACACAGAAAATCAGCCACCACTAGATGGCACTAGCACCACTCACATGTGCGCATTACATTGAGTACGGTTTCATGAATGTTACATTGTGTTTTCTTTGTTTCTTTTTGGTTTGGCTTTTTGGTTTGGTTTGAACTTGTTCTAACTTAACTTGTCTTAAGACCCAGAATAGCTTATATTAATTTTGCCAAACAAGAACTTCATGGCGGTACCTGAATTCTGTAATTCAATGGCACCTTGTCAGTTATTCCTTCCTTGTCACAAATATGTCTCTATTTGAACAAAATTCTGCACATTCATGTAATTCTTAACTCTGCAGACACCGGTTGAAAAGCATTTGTTTCAGTGTAGTGAGCACATTTGTGAATTTTTCAAATCGTGTATGAATTGCACTGGGCCTTGTTCGTTGGTAGTTGTGTGTGTGGGGGACGTGAAATGCTGTAAACTGCGAAAATGAAGTCTCAAAGTCCAAATGAACCGAACAAGATCGACTCGAACTAGACATCAATTAATGTACGCGTGTCACCTGATCCACGTATGCACAGATTCCTTTTTACATGAGCAATTTATGATATATTAATGCAGAACAGAACATTTTTATTCACAAACATGTTTGTATTTGTACAAATCGCTGCACATCATCAGATCATTTAATCCCGAATTCCACAGACTCAAATTGAAAGGCATTTGTTTGTGGTTAGTAAGACACATGTATAAAATGTATGCAGTGCATGGATAATTGTGCGTGCATCTATTAATCATTTTGAGTCTAATATCATCCCATACTCTCTTGGCAATGTGATGGGCATGGAGAAACTCACCATCTTGATCAATGGCCAGAACCGTTGCACCTCGAGTAAGCAGCACCTCAACCACAGTGGCAAGACCATTTCTTGATTACACTGTCAAGACTAAATGATTCAGGATTTATTACCGAATGTCAAACTCGGCAATGATCACTTTAGTACACGTGGTAGGCAATAATATAAAATAATCATATAAAAAAATTTAAAAACTGGCCAGCGGGCCAAATCAGATGGCAGGCCACCGGGAATTCTCCTGGTGCTCCCGATGGCCAGTCCGGGTCCAACTCTCTAAACATTAGGCCACGACTGCCCTACTAAAATACAATATTATACAGGTATGTTGCCCAGTTGGGCCCCATTCAGGTTCTATATGAGATTCATATGGGCTAATTCATGTAGGGTATAGGAAATTATGATCCGCACTCACAAGAGCAATCTTCTTTTTTCTTTTATTTTACATTCATCACTGATGGGAAAAGACACAAACGTTTTGGCACAAAGTCTTCCTCAGAGTGTAAAGCAATTCAATCCCTCCACCCACTTTTCAATTCACTAATTATATTGACATCATCATTCATTAGCCAATGTTCAATTACCACAATCATTAAACCATTTCCATTTAAATCCTGGACAATTTACATACATATATATACTGTATATATATTCAATACACAACGTCACATCCACTATAATACACCTCACAATATACCCGTGACTAAAACAATAGTTATTTAAGATCACATATTTATCACTATTATACAAACCTATAGTTTATCCTATCAATCATCAATATCTACTCCACCAATTAACTTTAAATTGTATAACAATGGAAAATTCTATAATTAAGAACATCAGAAATACATCGTCATAAACAATCATTGTTTTTCACACTGTAAATACTCAATTTATTATATACAATATTAAAAATGAATACGACCAACCATAGTTCATTAAAGAAAGAAAGAAAGAAAGATCTAATTCCTCATTCATGCCATTTGGGTTCAGTGATTTAAGTTTATGAATCCAAAATGCTTCTCGTTTCAATAGTTATTTATTTATATTACCTCCTCTACGTGACCCAAAACCTTCCTCTATTCCTATACATTCCAATTGCTTAATGTCATGTCCCAATTCGTTAAAATGTCTCGCTACTGGAGAGGTTATGTATTGTCATCGTATACTAGATTTATGTGCATTAATTCGTCATTTCAACTGCTGGCAAAGATTTTCCTATATATATCTTTTGACAGGGACATTTTAACATATAGATCACATTACGAGTTGAACAGGTAATACAAGATGTGATTTTAAAACATTTCCGTGTTACTGGACATATAAACTCTTTACACTTGACCAAATTCCTGCAGGCGGCACAGTTTCTACACGGGAAACAGCCTTGTATATAAGCAAACTTTTTCCTCCTTACTACATCCGAGTTTACCATCATATCTGATTGATTTCGTGATCTTTTAAAAGTGAATAATGGGCGATATTGAAATTTCTT